TCAACTGTACTCTGCCAATATTTTCTCATTTCATTTTCTTCCATGCCACTCTTTTTTTATGGCTTCATGCAAGTCTTCAGTACTATGTATTTTTCAGTCATATGAACAGAATCTTCTCTATAGTATGAGCCATATCATTTTTCCTTAAGCTAGTGCTACGCTTATGAACATTTAGGATCTTATTCAGTTATTTGCAAAATATTTTCAATCCTACTTAGAACCCTCAAGAGTTTATAATAACAGAGAAAAAAAAAGCATTTCTAACAAGTACTAAAACTTTTACCTTAGTCTATAGGCGTACGGGACTCAGATTATAACCATCGCCCTAACAGTTGAAGATTATAGTGATAAGGATATAGACATATGGGGTATGGGTGTAAGGTTATGGGCATACGAGTGTAGGTATAAAGATATAGGCATACGAGTATAGGTATAAAGATATAGGTTTAAGGATATAAGTATAATGGTATAGGCATAAGGGTATAGGTATATGGGTATAGCTGTAAGGGTATAGGTATAAGAATATAGGTATAAGGGTATAGATATAAGAGTATAGGTGTAAGAATATAGGCATAAGGGTATAGGCATAAGGGTATAGGTATAAGGGTATGGGTGTAAGGTTATAGTTTACGGATTATTAATTTCTTTCCGCTGTGTTTAATGACTATATCTGGGTTTCTCTCGCGTTTACTTTCTCAATAAGATGATAAGAGGAGCAGACAATGGATTTTTTACCATTGTAGACAAAAATCTTAATATTTACTATATATTTAACAGATGATAGTGAATCGGAAAGAGAACAGCCACTGAAGCCTAATGATTAAAATCCGATTGGATCCTGTCGAATTTGTTACATTTCGTTGCAGGATCCTCGGCACTCGATTCTGAACTCAATCCGATCGAATCCGACAAGATTCAATGGTCGGATTTCTCGACCTGGGAAGACAATGATCGGTGTATCACCTGAAGTGACTATTGATGTTCTTCATTGTCCTTACAAAACTGAAGACTTATCACATTTGTCTCTAGGTAAGTATATGAATAAACACAAATGACAACTCTTTGATGCTGATAGTTTCATGAATTGTTATATTTTGTAGGTCCGAATTATGGTCGACCAAATCCAAGTGCACTTCGTCCGATAAAACATCGTGAAACTCAAATACAATATCATCTCAAAGATATTAATGAGAAATTTAGATGTCAATTGAAGAACTACTGTAACAGAGAATCTCCAGCAGCAAGAATGAAAGAGTATTCTCAATTAGTTGAAGATCTACTTCGACAACATTATATAGCTCCATTATCCTATGTTGATAGCATGCGTGCTCAACGAGAATTCAAATTAGTAAAGTCTATTCGACGAAAAGCACAAAAAGCAAAACTTATTATACGGGTTTGTGATAAAGGTGACAGCTTACATATTGGGAATAAAAGTGATTATGAAAGAAAAGCAGCAAAATATCGAGAAGATAAAAACGCCTATCAAGAATTATCATACAATCCATTGATGGAAATATTAACTAATGTAACAAATGCTCTTAATGCTCTCAAGAATAACAAGCAATTGGTACTCAAAGATTATAATCATCTAATGCCCAAACTGGATCTCGTCAGATTATCTTACATGTATTTTAATCGTAAACCACACAAGGTTACATGTACTATTCTTCTTTGATATTTTGTCAAGTAATGTTGCGTTAAATATGTCATTTTCCTTCTTTTGTTGTTGTTTAGGAAGAAACGCCATTACGACCCATTCTGAATACCATTAAAGCAGTAACAAGACCTATCTCCGATTTCTTAAATGAATTGATTCGACCTATCTACGATCAATATAATCAAGATTATACAATTATTGATGGTGTGAATCTTATCAAACGTCTCGAAAAATATGCTGCTGGTGGTCATCTTAAGCCGTCGACTCTTTTCTGTACTTTTGATATTAATAACTTGTATACCATGCTGCCACAAGATGAATCCATTCGAATTCTAGGCGATTTTCTTCATCACTATGTTCGTGAAAGAGTTAAAAATATCTGGGTTGCAGCATTCAAAAATTGGCCGAAATTGTTTTGAAAGAAAATGCTTGTGTCTACGATCATAAATTCTATAAACAGATTATTGGTGGTGCGATGGGTTCACCATTTACATTAATTCTAGCCAATATATTTATGTGGCATTGGGAAAAACGTAGGGTTCGATGACAAAACAGTAAGGAAGAAATCTATGACCGGTACGTAAAATCTAAATATCCCTAAATATATATTCGATTATTTCTATTTATGATCCTAGATATATCGATGATGTCTTCTTTACATCGAACGAAACCATCGAAATTGTTCGACAGCTATTGCAGGATGCGAATGAATGGAATCCGAATATTAAATTAGTAGAATCGAACATTGGAAGTACTGTTCCATTTTTAGATGTTCTTTTAACTAATAACAATGGAGTTCTTCATACATTCGTTTATCATAAACCTTCGGCTGAACCATATGTCGTTCCATTCCTTTCGGATCATCCACGACATACATTTCCAAATATTATACAAACGGCTCTTGTACGAGCGATTCGACATTCATCAACATTCGAAGAATTAATAGTAATGAACGACATGCTGTTCGCTTTATGTTATTATTTAATGGGTAGGTCTTCTATTTCTATGGTGATACGGTATAATATTTGGAAATGTATGTCGT